CATGCAGACACTTACGCTGGCTCTGGAGCAGTTGTCGCTTAGCTACAGTGATGACAGGCAGAAATAGCTTGACTACGTATGGATGAGACAAAGTTTAATAGGGCGAATGGGTTTGTGACTACACACACACACACACACACACTCTCTTTTGCGGGTTTGTTGAACTGTTGAACACTCGCCATCTTCTAGATATCAAAGTAATTTGCCAAAGCTGAGGAGAAGGACAAATTTGAGCCATTTCCATGGCATTTGTTCAGACAAGCTGTGATGGACATCAGGATAAACTAACTCAATCTGAAAATGTGCGTAAACCTGCCAGTTAGTTCACATTTCTAGATTCATATTTAGATTCTGTCTTCATTCTGGGAATGATCTGATGTTTTACGGTGTTCACACATAAACCTCACTGGGCCGCTCCTTTGAGAATCCAAAAACTCAGTCTAATGTCATGGCCTGATCTGATTGCAACCTCTGGAGCACATTCTGCTCTCATTTGGCAGTATTCATAGGAGGGTGTAACAGTTTTTAGATGTTGCTCAAGTTTAGTGGAGGTCTTGGATTCTATTATGGGACTGCTTCTTCAGTGCGTTTGTCAAAAAGATTTGAGCTCTCATACTGAACTCGATTTTATATGTACACATTAACCAGATATGTACTACTATACCTATTCGATTTATCAAGATTCAGAATGCACCCTCAGAAGGGACCACAGCATTTTCTGAAGACTGTACTCCCAACCAGCTCATGTTTATAATGTTCTTCAAATCATGTAAACAGAAATTGAACGTAATTTCTAAAAAAGTGAATAGAAACTGAGTTTGTCATGCTCCAGAAAGATAAAAAAGTACCATAAATGTAGTCTGTATGATTCATACGCTAAGTCCTCTGAAGCTATGTGATAACTGTCAAACCACAAATCTGGCATTATGATATACGTAAGATTTTCTTTGATTACATATACTGGAAGTATTACTCCACACCACAGGATAAACAGAAACTGCATACAAATTTTATTTGTTTTTGTGTGTATTGTCAACACAACAATGTATGTGCAGAAATATGATATTAATATATATTTACTATTATTAATACTATTTTTCATTTGGAAGCAGTTGTATTTCTTCAAAGGACTTGATATATATTACCCTAGTCATTTTGGATTTCTTTTACGGTATTTTGTTGTTGTTTTGTTTTTTTTTTGTCTTTTTGGAGCTTGACAGTGCCAACTGTCATTATAACACATGTTTGGTGAATAAACAACAGAATTTAGCCTAGATTTTTTTTGTGCAGGGCTGTATGATGTGGTCAAACAATCAAACTGCAAATGATATGCAATATGATACGATGGACGTGAAAGTGTGTGTCTGATACACTGGAACCAATAGGTTATTGACACACATCTGTAGTTTGTTTTGCATTAATATGGAATGCATTAATGACATTTGTTCACTGATGTTGTCACGCATTTCCTGTATTGATTTTAAAATGTTGGTTGGTTGGATTGGGAACAAAAGTTGTACATTTTGTACAAGTCAACTCATATCTGGCAATCAGATTACGATTTAGACTTTGTTGCAGTTTTGCTGCTTGCTTGGTTCAATGCAAAAGCTGTAAATACAGCCTGGTCTCATTGTTTATACGCAGGGCCTAAAACGAACTTTTTGCCACACCTGCCAATGGCCGGTGACATAAAATTTACCGGCCAAAATTTTTTTTTTGAAACTCTTCTTGCAAAAACAGGCAGTTATTACTACTACAATAACTAAACATATTTACAATGTTTTTAATTTGTTCTGCTGGTGCATTTTCCCTCAATTTTACCTATTAATTATAGCCATTCAACATTACAGTATAATTGAAAGCCATTATTTTTTTTAACATTTAATAGGCTCTGAAATATATAACAACTTTTTATTTAAGTGATTTTAAAACAATCTAAACATAAACTATATTATATATGCATAAACTATACGTATTAATCTTTATTCAAGCTATAAAAGTTAATCAGCGACTAGAACAGTCCAAGGATTTCTCTTTTTCTTAAAAGCGGCTCAGCGTATGCATACAGCCGAATGCGCAGCCTTTCAAACTATATTTCACTGCACCGTTTAGGCGGCGTAACCCCAGGCATGTGTCGCCGCATTCTCGGGTTATGAAGAATAAAGAAGGGAAAAGTTAATCTTCCGAAATGAAGCAGCAAAATCTTCTCAGATAAAAGTTATTAGAACCGTGTCTAGGGACAAGCTGGCCATCACACTGCTCTGACCTTATCAGTCCGTTTGTATCCTATCAATCGATTCGCTCTTGTCGCTTATGATTGAACAGCTAATCACGATGATCTGGTGTTCGGAAAATATTATTTTATTCGCTTATGTCAGAAACGGCGAATCTCTTTAAAAACTGTCTGTTGATTTCACTTCACTGCATTGTTATAATTCGTAAAAGTTGTACCCGCCAACTGGCGACTGACACTGTTACATGGACTCGCCAACGCTGATTTTTACTCGCATTTGGCGCTTGGCGAGTGTTAATTTTAGGCCCTGTTTATACGTATGTATTAGTACGTAATGTTTACAAGCACAAAACGTACATTTTTGTATGTTTTGATTGATTGCTAAAACATACAATTTAGACATATTATGTTTAAAACGTAGAAGTGCTATGGATTTACAGCTAAAAAACGTAAAATATTTACAAATCTTTTATATAATTAAGATAGGCCTATTTGTATCAATGCATTTTTATAATTTCATCGATAAGCGATTTATATTTTTAGACCCCTTAACCTTCCCCCAAACCTAAACCTACCCATTTTATAGCTAATATAAAAAGATGTAATTGACTGAAATATGCAGGGAAATGACCATTTTAGTAACAATATAGCATTAAAAAGATTTTTTATAGTTGCTAATCCCACTCCTAACTCTAAACATAACCATGACTATTTCTTAAATATGTACAGCATAAAAAAATGACAGACAGATAAGTGCAATCACAATAATTTATTTATTGCAAAAATGTCAAAAGCAGTACCAAAATCTGTGACGAAGCAGGTGAAAGCCAATGAGCGTTAGATTTTCCTGCTGTAAATCCCGTCGTAAAGTTTCTTGAAGTGGCTTTTGAATTTGTAATTAGCTTAGCCAATTTAGCGACTTTGTCGTTAGATTTAGTGGCTTTAAAAAATAAAACAAAAAGCGCCTAGCGACAAATCTAGTGACTTCTTGGACAAACCTTATTTAGTTTCTGACACCGTGTCTACACCGGATGCGACAGTTGTCGCCAGGGGAGCCTTAAGATAACCAGAGGCCCCTGGGCTACAGCATTACGGTAGGCCCCCCTACCCTAGATATTTTTTATTGTATTTTTTTTAAGCTTCCTCACCATTTTTTATGTAGAATTTCGGATTTTTCTTGTTGACATGCCAGTTAACATTTACAACACTGTTCTGCATAAAATATGAATATAAGTGAATATGCAAATTCACTCTTTGCCAGAAGGTGGCGCTTGTGGAGCAGCAGAATTAGCCTATAGTCTTTACATAAAGTAAACACTACTTTATTACAGGCATTATAGGGAGGTAATATGAAAAAAAATGCCATCAAAACTTTACAGGTTTACAGGTATGATTTAAACACCATAAACACAAAATATTCATTTTTCAACATTAGTAGATCAAAATTATCACTTGAATCTAGGCTATTTGGTGGTTGCTTACTGCGTTTTTATTTTGAAACATGCTGTGCTCGCGTTTAATTAATTAAATGATAGCATAAAGTCATGTACACAGAATAGCTCTCGTGCTAGGCTTCTTTACTAGCGCATTGTGCATTCCGCTCACAGTATATCGGTGGAACATACCAACTATACAAACTGCGTGGGGGAAACCTAAACTGAACCATTCACTTCATATACTACAAGCAGGGCATCGCTGAAAATGAGTGTGTGTTTGTTTACAGAATGCTGTTGTCGCTGTTGCAAATATATCCAAATAATTATTCGAAAAATAGAATTTCCCTGCAGCCAGTAGGCTCCTCCCAAGTGTAGGCCCCTGGGCTTGAGCCTGTTGAAGCCCGTGCGTTAATGCGGCCCTGGTTGTCATGCCGCGCCGCAACAGCTTAAGACTCTCTACATTGGACGCGACAAAGCGACTGTTGCAAATCACAGCCATTGTCTTTATCTTATGTGTATTTGATTTCTTCGTCGACGACTCGATTATAAATCAGGATTATTGTGCATCTTGGAAGGGAGAGCTGGTTATGTAGTCATAATGGGCCATGTTTCAGCCACTATTTCAATCGTACCAATTTCAGGCCTGTGATTTTTAAGATTTGGATTACAGCACACAAATAAAATTTATTTTTAAAGGTTTAAAGTGTACTCTTGTTTCGTACATAAATTGCCAAGTCGGCATGCACTCCAGAGCCCTTTTCAAGCAGACTGTGAGTCTTCTATTGTGGGCGGATTGTTATCTACTCTCCATCAGAGCGGCGTATATGCCAGTCTCAAAACCATGGAGCTGACATTCTTTCGAGGAATGGAATTCCTCACGGGGAGTGGAAGGATGATTTGGGACCACTTCAGGAGGGCGGAGTTGGGTCTGTTCGCAACGAGCGAGAACACACAATGCCCGCTGTTCTTCTCGCTGTCTCACTCCCCACTGATGGGAGAAGCTCTGATGTTGCGCTTGCCGAGAGCCAGGCTTTATGCGTTCCCTCCAGTGAAGATTTTGCCTCTGGTGATGTGCAAAATCAGGGTAGAGAGAGCGTCGGTAATCTGGCAGATTCAACCTTAGTTTCTGGACCACAGGGAGATGCTGGTGGCTCCCCCTTGGCGAATCCCCAACAGGAGGGATTTGCGGTCTCAAGCAAATGGCTCGATATGGCACTCCAGCCCGGAGCTGTGGAGCCTTCATGTGTGGCTATTTGAGGGGTCCTAGAGGAGCTAAGTGCCCTGCCTCCCCGTGTGCTTGACATGCTAACTGAGTTTCGTGCACCTTCTACTAGGTGCCTGTATGCTCTTAAACAGGGAGTGTTTGTGAAATGGTGCTGTGATAGAGATATAGGCCTGGCGAGCTGCCCCGTGTCGGATGTTCTACGTTTTCTGCAGCACAGGCTAGATAGCAGGAGTCTACCGTCAATGCTAAAGGTCTATGTGGCCACTATTGCTTCGTTTCGTTCCCTGGTTGATGGGCATTCGATCAGGAGGCATGCGCTGGTGGTCAGATTTCTCAGGGAAACGAGGAGATTACATCCCCCAAGCCCACTGTCGCTGGTTCTGAAAGCTCTCTTTCTACCCCCGTTCAAGCCTTTGGTATCCATTGCTATGAGGGAGCTCTCCCTCAAAACTGCTCAGCTTCTTTCCCTTGCTTTGGCTAAGCGCATAGGAGATCTCTATGCGCTCTCAGTGGATGGTGATTGTATTCGCTTTGGGCCTGGGGACTGCAGTGTTACTCTCTGTCAGGGCTTTAAGAATTTATATTGACCGCTCTGCCATTTTTCGACAGTCTGACCAGCTCTTTGTGTGCTATGGTGGCTGTACCAAGGGACGGGCAGTATCTAAAGTCTCTTCATGGGCCTGGTCTAAAGGCACATCTATTCAGGATATATGCTTTGCAGCTGGCTGGTCCTCACAGAATACTTTCGCTAGGTTTGACAAGTTGGATGTGCCATCCTTGGTGTCTCAAGTGATTTCGGTGAGTCACTAACCTCACTTATTCTTCTAGTTTATTTCTATCTGCTTATATGTGTGCTTTTGTTACATTGCACAGCGCTTCCTTGCTACTGTTGTTGTTTCTGCCCTGTATTTAGTGAAGCCGCTCATTTATTTTGGCCAGATATGCTAATTTAGTATACCTGAGCTAAGATGCTCATTGGACTAGCTCCACCTATCAGCTGCGGGCTTTCCTAGCAGTGTCGCTATTGGTTGGGAATTGTGTGTTGTTCTACCCCATTCTGCTGGGTGTGGTCTTAGCCCTTGGTTCAGGCTGAGCTTCGCCGCTCTCACGGCGGGATTGTATACCATTCCCATCTTGATCTTCTCAATGTAGAGTGAATGCTAGAAAGGGAACTTCTCCGGTTGCTGTCGTAACCTCGGTTCACTGAGAGCAGGAACGAGACAGGCTTGTACGTATTTACATGCGATTTGCATGATTAGCGACAATTGGCTAGTTTATTGTACTGGCGTTATCCTATAAGGTTTCAAGATTTCGTAGAAGGAGAGGAGTTCCCCTCGCGATCTTCACAATGTCTCGTTCCCGCTATCAGGGAGCCGAGTATTGTACGTTTCAGTGTCTGTGCAAACGTAAGTAAATGTACGTTTTGTATAACCGCATTTAATGTAAATTACATAAGAATTCTCATGAGATCATGTTGGTAAATATATTTTTAATATTTCTTTCATCGCTACATGAAGCTATTTTGTATTTTTTTTTTCTGTTAACATACTTTCTGCTATCCCAGGAAAATATGCAGAGACAACTCCAAGGATGACTTCCCGAAATGTGTAAACACTGAGGATCTCTGGCGCTTTCAAACATTGCTCTGTTTGTTTGAGTGGTCTGATGTGTCAACTTCTGGCTCAACCAATGGAGTGAGTTTGGTGCAGGCAACCATGTAAAATGGTGGCGGGGCTATTTTTCCAGTAAGTTTTGGTGACGCTAATTGTTCAGAATTATAAATTCTGGATTTAGGTTGTTAAATGAGGAAAAATAATTAGTTCTCAATCAACTTTATTTTGCTTTCTAACAGTATTTGCAGAACCACAAATTTCTGCTGAGTGGTATTTTTTTAGAAGAAAAGGCTTCTTCAAATTGGATATTGGTCTGTTTACTGTAATAGAGGGCATAATGGCTGTTCCTCTCATTCCTTTGTTACTGTGTTATGAACTCCGATATTTGGTTGGCCTCAAATATGCAGCCCAGTAATAAATCTTTAGTGTGGTGTGTTTTGCTGCTGTACTGTGCGAGAATGCACTGTGAGAGTGTGTAATGTGAGTAAATGTATATTTATATCCAACAATTATCAATGGAACACAAAGCATCTGTCTTCTTGTGTTTGTGTGCGTGTGAATTTTAGTAAGATGGGTGTTTTTCAGAAATGGCAGCTCTGTCAGTTTGTTGACTACATCTTCAAAACAGCTCTTTACATCTTTCATTCTCTTTTTGCCTCTTAATCTCTCTCCTTTTTGCATCTGTCCCCCCGAAACAAAAATCTATATCAAACATTGTTTTGGTCATATGTAGGTGTGTTATTAAATGTTTTGGATGGTAAAGCTTGCTTTTTTAGTTCATCTGTGAATGTTCACTGAACTGTGTGTACATATAAAATCGAGTTCAATATGAGAGATCAAATCTTTTTGACCAACGCACTGAAGAAGCAGTCATCCCTGCTCCTGTTGCTATATACAGAGATCATAATGGAATCCTCCACTAAACTTGAGCAACATCTAAAAACATAAAATAAATTAAAATAGCCATTCTTCTTAATGAATCATTCAGAATGACTCACTAAATTATGATTTACTGTTTCAAATAGTCTTACAAAACCCTCTCTACAATGAAATTGAAATCGAATCCAATCCAATCCAATCCAATCGAGAGCTTGTGAATCCAAATTGAATTGGAAATTTGTAGCCCTAAAATATATTTCACCTTAAAATCAGCAGAATTTATATTTTGAGGGAAAATGGAGCTTATTTTGTAGTCTATTTAATGTACTGTAAATTAATTTCATTACAATTAAGCACATTTCCCCTCCACAGAGGAGTGCCACTCTCAGTCAACGTTCTGATGTGATCTGATCGCCAACCTTTGATTTGTGTCAAGCTATCATTGCCATATCCATGACGCATATATAGTGATAATTTTGCGTTGCAGATTAATGTTTTTTTCTATTTTATTTTATTATTTGCATGTTGGAATGATGAAATAATGCTTTTTTTCTCCCGTGGGATGTAACATGAAATAGAGCAATAATAGATGAAAAGACAGAGGGAAATGAATCCAACACTAACAGCAGTATCAAAGCAGGAACACATGCTTTGATCAGCTTCAACACTGAAATCTGCAGACCGAAGAGCAACTAGGTCATCAGAAGGTTGTCTTGTGTTTCCTTTTTTGTTCTTTTATCCAGATTTCTCCAAAGGTTATCTCATAGTTTGGATTTAAAACTTATGAATAAAATCATATTTGTAGTCTATCTGGATATTTTATCTTCATAATGGAGGAAGACAAGGTGATGTGAGGATATGTAGATATAACAGGAGAAAAGAAAGGGGTCTGTTGATGAAGAGGCCAGTTAGAGTTTATCCCAATTTGCATCTTGTGTGTCTGTGCATGTATGTGTGTTTGTGTGAGTGTGTATGCACATCTCATCCAGTGTTGGTCCCAGATGGGCTCCAGCTGTACGAGTAAAAACCACACATCCAGCTGTCCATGCTGTATGTGTCACACTGCCCTCTAACTGGAGAAACTCACCGCTTATGAGGTGAGAACATGTTGAGACCACTGTCACATTAGGTCTGGCACTCTTCTTTATGTGTGTGTGTTTTACAGAACTACCAGCCATTTTAACCACCATTGCGGCATTAGCGTATTGAGCTATACAACATTGTGCAATGAACGTGTGTGCTTCATTTTATAAATCGTCTTGTACCAAACTCAAGTCTGCATTCCTATCAGGTCAAACACTGCTCTGACCTGCCATTCAGTATTGTGTGCTCGGAAACACACTTTGTGTGTGTATGTGTGTGTTTGAGAAAATATAACTCTTGCCAGAGAACATTTGATTTCTGATGTGCTCTTTAGCCAAAGCAAGCAGAACTGTAATCAGATTGCCACGGTAAAAAGATCCCTCCACTGAGGGAGTGACATCATTAACTGTTGGGAAGGTCTCTCACTCTCATTCGCAACCTGACACAAACCGTTCGACAACCTTGACATACTTTGCTCAAACTCTACCAGAGCCTTTTCTTTTAAACCCTTTTAGAAAGTTATCCGAGTTGTTTAAAGCCATGTGCTCTGCGTAAATGAACCGTAACATCATCTAAATGCTCTGAATGTAACATAATCACAAAAAAGTATGTATGTTGCTATTGTGTTAATGACAGATGACAGTGTCTATAAGGACAGAAAAATCTTTTAAAAATCCAGCGTACTCTCTGTATTGTGGGATTACAAATTTAAGAATCTGTTTAAAATATGCTGATCCTATGTTCTGACATAGCATCACATGAAAAACTAAGGTGAAGTACATTGTATTTAGCATTTAAGGTAAATTACATCAGACAAATGCAAAGTGTAGCAGGAGGTTCCTGTCTGTTCCGGTTTCTCTTATTGTTAGTCAAATTAACCAAATTACTGAGAAAGTCACCTTTTGTTTGTAATGGCTCGCTACTTTGAAGCAGCCCCTCCCCACTTCACCGAACTGTTGGTGCAGCTTGCTCAGGTGTTAACTGTTAGGGCTGTGAGTGCTTAATTTCCCCTGTAATCCATCCCATGTCGATTTCATATGGTTTTGACAACACTTATAAAAAAAATTTTTAGCAACATTTTAAATTGAATGAGTCCTTATGACATTTGCAGACAAAAGTTTGTAAATAATGAAAAGTGAAACAATTTTGTCTATATTCATTATTATTTAAGGACAAATGCATCTCCCTTGCATTATTGACATTGTGGCCAAAAATAAATAAATAAATAAAATGTGTGTGTATGTGTATATA